AAAAGTGTACAGTAATATCTGTACTCATAGAGATAAAAAGTGATTTTAAATCGACATAAAACTCATTTAGGTTTTAAAAATAAAATCCCGTAAACTTATGGATTGTTATATCCCTATGTGAGTCGCTATAATCATACTATGACTATGTGAACCTGCCACGACGTTCTCAGTGTCGCAAAAAAAATAAAATGACATTTGTCACCCGTAGACCTGCAGGTCCAACTGTAGCTAGCAGCAAGGTGTGGGGTGTCAAACCCAATATAGATCTATATACAAGTATCACGTTCTCCCTCAAGGAGATTCTGATTATAACTACCAGGAATTATATCCGCACTCGGACGTACGGGGAGAGAGAGAGAGAGAGTCTCACAATATAGGTTAACAAGTTTACGTGAAATGTGTGTGAATATAAATCTTTCTTGTATGAATGTACCCTTTTTGTACGAGTGTGTTGAGTGATGTATCATAAACTATACCTATTATAGTTTATCTAAAATGTATGTAATATGTATGAATTCTTTTATGGAAATGTATTAGTGTTGTGAATTTATCAAACTATAGGTAAACAATTTACGTGAAATGTGTGTGAATATAAACTTTCTTGTATGAATGTACCCTTTTTGTACGAGTGTGTTGAGTGATGTATCATAAACTATACCTATTATAATTTATCTAAAATGTATGTAATATGTATGAATTCTTTTATAGAAATGTATTAGTGTTATGAATTTATCAAACTATACTTTTTATAGTTTAATATACGTGTTCTAAAATGAATGAAATATATTTATTATGAATGACTTAGTTTCAGTTCATGATGATAAACTAACAAAGAAACACATTCAATAATTAGAGCTTATGATTATACACTTTGCTCAACATATTACAAAGTGTTATGATATTTACATGCTGTTGGCTAAATTTAGCAATTCTGCCTGTTTTGGAAAAATCATAGAAAAATCATACGAAGTCGAAAACTAGATCCGTAAATTCTGAGAGTTCACAAAATGTGTCTAGTTTACTCATAATTTTTATCACGATTTTTAATGACCTCCAACTTGGGTGAAAAAGTCCATAATCACAGACTGGTCCGGATTGTTGTTTGAAATGATAGGCAGTTTTGTAAAAATCACCATAAATTGTAGAAAAATCGTATGGAGATGTGCAAGTAGTCATTTTAAAGCTAAAAACTTGAACTATTTGTACCTTGTACAGTTTTGAAAACAAAAATGTTTAAGATGCCCAAAACAGTCCGTGAATGGAGTTGAACTTTTCTGATGAAGGCTGTTAGAAAAATTTAGTTATGTTCTTAGTGTTTTAACTTGTATTCCCCCCTGAAAACTTGAGAAAACATAAAAATGTAGGGGTATGAACTCACCTTGAGTGATTTCAGTAGATAAGTGTTGAAGAAGAGAAGTGTTCAACCCAAGAACACTTGAAGAATCACTTGAAGATTCGAAGCTCTAACGCTAATATGATGGAGTTTGTGTAAGATATCCATGATTTGAGTGGAAATAAGTGAGATAATCATAAGGAGGATGAATTATACTTACTAAGAGTGGAAGAACACTTGATAATCAGCCTTGAATCTCGAGTTTGGTGGAGAAAAAGTTTGAGAGAAAAGTGGTGTTTGATACTTAGTGAAATGGGAGAAAATGAGAGAAATGAGGAGAGAGGATGTTTGTTCCAGCTCAAAAACGTGGGAATGAGTGTAAATTAGGTGTGAGGGACATTGAAGTGACCTAGGTAAGGTGGGGAGGTGTGGTTAGTCAAAGAGTGGGTGTGGGGTGGTTGCTTGTGACATTGGATAAGGCAAAGTCAACACTCCACCTTTAATAATTCACCCACTTGATTTTTATTATTTAAATAATGATTTTCATCAAAATATGTTTAAATTATGAATATTTAGAGTTTATTATGTTAAAATATAATTTCTGGAGAAAATCCCGTTTTAAAATCATGAAAAACGGGCTTAAAATGTTAAAAATATCAAAAATGGGCTAAAAGTGACAATTTCCCGAAGTCTGGCCGAGGTTCGGCCTTCTGGTGCTGAAACGAGAGAGAGAGGGAGGCAGAACCGAGAGGGAAGAAGAGAGAAGGGAAGGAACCGAGAGGAGGGAGGAGAACAGAGGGGCGCGAAGTAGAGACAGAGAGGAGAGAAGAGACAGAGAGGCGGGCAGAGACCGAGAGTAGGGAAGAGACAGAGAGGCGGGTAGAGACAGAGCGAGAAAAGAAGCAGAACGAGAAGCGACAGAGGCAGAGGCTCGGTCCTCGCGTGCCACAGTCAACAGAGGCTCGGTCCTCGCACGTCTTAGCCAACAGAGGCTCGGTCCTCGCACGTCTTAGCCAACAGAGGCTCGGTGTTCGGTGTCTTAGCCAACAGAGGCTCGATCTCCGGTTTCTTAGCCAACAGAGGCTCGGTCTTCGGTGTTTAGTCTCGGCCTTAAGGAGCTTCGGCTCCTTAAGAAGGGTTTCGGTTCTTAAGGTCCCGTTTTCTCGTTTTTACCCCGTTTTAAGCCGTTTTTGACCCGGTTAAGGGTCGGAATGACCCGAATGATTCCAAAAAGTTACGGGAAACTTTTGAGAGAGATTTGGGAGAGATTTCTCTTACTTGGAGAGATTTGGGAGAGATTTGACATTCTTGGAGAGATTTCTCATACACTGAGATATTTGCGAGAGTTTTCACATACTTGGAGAGATTTGGGAGAGATTTGACATTCTTGGAGAGATTTCTCATACAGAGAGATATTTGAGAGAGATTTCACATACTTGGAGAGATTTGGGAGAGATTTGACATTCTTGGAGAGATTTCTCATACAGAGAGATATTTGAGAGAGATTTCACATACTTAGAGGGATTTGGGAGAGATTCGACATTCTTGGAGAGATTTCTAATACAGAGAGATATTTGAGAGAGATTTCACATACTTGGAGAGATTTAGGAGAGATTTGACATAGAGAGAGAGATAGAGTGAAAACGATTGAGAGAGGATCCATGTGTGACAATTGTGAGTGTCCGGCATCGCAATGCATGGTTCGTAAACCCTGTTAAGCCTTGTTTAAGGATCTTACACACTCCCGATGAGTATGCATCATTGTTTTATCGGTTTGGCTCGCCACGTACTACAGTTTTTTTGGTTAAGGAGATCTAGATGTTCGCACTTTTTGTTTTATGATTTCTCATTAGAATAGAAGTTATGTAGAAGTTTCATAGTCTGAATTTTAGTACTCATGGGCAAATTGAGTCAAACGGTTTGACTTGCTGACTTTAGTTGACTTTGACTTGATCGAAATTTGACGGTTGTCACAGATGTGCATCCTCAACTTGAATGAACGTCTCTATAATGGTCCCAACTTCGCCAAGTCTCTTGTCTATGGATCCTTACATATCCTTAGACTTGCCTTGTCCCTTGCTTGCACCTTGACGAGTCTCCTCTCTTCGTTCTCCACAACACCAGTAACATTCTTCTCCATCTCACCCGACATACCTTCCTTTACTTGATGTGCTCTGATACCACTTGTCACAGACTTGACTATTCAAGCTCACCGTACAACACTTAGTTCTCAAACTAAGTCAGCCTAACTCGAACCACCACATAAAATCAAGGAAGAAAGTAACTCAACACTCGAAAGCTCTTTATTGCTCTAGAAAACGTAAACTCAATTACAATGTAGAGAGAAATGAAATGGAAGAGCCCTATATATACATGAGATAAGAATTATTAGGAACTAAGGGGCATCTTTAGAATGTTTCTAGAAGATGACTCTTCATAGGACTTCTATGATGTTTCTAGAGGGTTTCTAGAATCTTTCTAAAAAAACCTATTCTAGAGGCGACTAAAATAATTGGAAAATATATCTAAATAAGGCAGGTCTTTACAATAAGGTCACCACTCAAAATAAGTATTGTAGTTCAAAATCCTACCCATGTAACAACATGTAGCTGTCAAGGCTCAGTTCTTTTAATAAGATTAACATTCAAAAGCTACCAACACGTAAGTTGAACTATTTCCTTGTTGATTACTATGATCCCATAAACAACCGTTTGATCTTGCAAAATGTTTATTTAGATGTTACAAAAATAGAGGATTCATTCTGTTATACGAAAAAAGTGGTTTTAGTCTTTTGCTCATTAGAACCCTGTGATCCGAATGACTATATTCTTAGAATCGAAAGATTAGTTTCTTGATGGGAAGTATAATAGTGATGCTTATTTGGAATTCATTAAAAAATCACCTAACGCTGAGATGATGTTCAAACTAAACTCTCTTACATTGTTTATCAATACATTTTTTTTAGTCAATGATGATGGGTACACGTAACATATGACATTTACCTTAAATCACTTGATCAAATTGCGACATAAAACTGGGTATCTTGTGAGCAAACTTCGTACTTAAACCTGTTCTTGGATACTAATGAAAAGGTTTTAGTTCAAATTTTGCAAATAAAAAAGAATGATAAAGTGCAACTAATTTGACGTCTCACAACGGAATATTGTATTTATTTTATGCAAAGAATTAAATGCATTTTAAAACGAATGTGTAAATGACCCAATATGAATATGAAAATCATCTTGCACACCAAATGCCAATTTTGTTCTGACCCTATGCCTTATGGTTCTAGTAGTTTAAGGAACAAATTATAATCACAACTGTAGACTTTTCATTTCGAGAAACGGTAGATGACACTGAATAAGTATCGGGTAGATATTAAAAAGCTACAAAAATGGTCTGCATATTTTAATGTGAAGCTGAACATTAATGTGACATAAGATGAGAAAAGTAAATAGATAACAATGAAGAACAAGCCATGATAATGGTGAATTTGATATTGGCTAACAAAAATAACTAAACGATAACAAACTTGCAGACCAAAGATCACCAAAACCACACCTTTTAGAAAACCAAGGATGTCATCTACACTGTAAAACAAGGAGCATCCACTCCTTCCTTTGGCACAAGCTTACCAATCAACTTAAGCAAAGAAGCATCTAAAGATCTAGCTTTTTATATGATCAAGTAACATTGCTACAGTTGAAGCATCAAGTGAAAAACATTTTCTTTCCATTTCCTGTAGAAGCATTTCTATGGTATCATGTTGTTGGTTCTTTAGAAATCCTTGGAGAAGAATACGGTAAGTCACATCATTTGGCGAGCAGCCTCTCTTTTCCATTTCAATAAACAAATCTTTTGCTTCCCCCATCACACCTTCCCGGCAAAACCCACCGATCATTGTATTATATGTCCAAATATCAGGTGTTAAACCTTTAACAATTAGTTCATTAAAAAGGTTCCTTGCAATATCAAACTTCCCACTTTTACTTGCACCATCAATAAGTATATTGTACACAATAATATTTGAATTTAGGTTGTTGTCACCTATTAAATAGAATAAAGAAAGTGCTTTCTCCACTTGATTGTTGTTGCTTAGACCCTCCAAAATTATTTTGTAAGTGCATTCATCCGGAATCAGTTTGTTTGCTCGCATCTCATTAAAAACTTCATCTGCATCTTTACAACGTCCAACTCGAAACAATCCCTGTAGCATGGTGATGTAAGTGATGACATTAGGTCTCATACCTTTTTTAGTTATTTCATGAAACAAATGCATGGCCTCTTCTATCTTCAATTTCTTGCAATACCCATTCAACAAACTATTATAAGTCACAATATTAGGAACGAGACCTCGAAACCCCATGGAATCAAAAGTTTCCCTTGCTTTCGTGACTTCACCTCGCAAACAATAACCATCGATAAGTGAGTTGTATGTGACTACATCAGGATCTTTTCCTCTTTGGATCATTATGTTGATAACACAGTTTGCATCCTCCACCTTCCCTTCCTTGCAAAGTGCATCAACTAATATATTAAAGGTGTTAACACTTGGGGAAATCCTATCATCCTCCATCTCTTTGAGCAATTTAGAGACCTCATCCCAACGACATAAGTTACAAAGGTCATGAATCAAAGAGTTGTAAGTCACAACATCAGGTAGGATGCCTTTGTTGAAGACCATTTCTTTGAAGAGGTTTAAAGCATCATCTACCATTTTGTCCTTAAAAAGACTATCAATGATTGTGTTATATGTGACCACGTTAGGTTTACAACCACTCCTATACATTAGTTTAAGCAATGCAATGGCAGTATCATTATTGCCAAATCTGCAAAGCCCTTTAATCATAGTGGTGTACATAATTGTATCAGGTTCACAGAGTTCCTCTTTGATTAGCTTCTTAAATAATCTTTCTGCCTTGAGGACACTATCTTCTAGGATGAGCCCATTTAAGAGTGCGCTAAAGGTGCAGACATCAGGTGATATATCACGTTTGAAGCCATAGCCTAAGACTGCAAATCCTTCACTCGTGCGGTGCATTTGGCAGCAACACTTGATCACAATGTTAATAGTGTAACATCAACAGGAACACGAACAACATTCATTTGTTTAAAAAGCTCAATAGAACAAGAATAATGCTTCATTTTGGCAAGAGCTTGCAACAACTGGTTGCATTTAACAACTGAAGGCAGAGGTTGTCTTTGTGCCATTTCATCAAACAGTTGGAGGGCATCATCGAGGTTAGTAATCTTCTCACTCATAGATCGAGGATGCTTAACCATTGTTTGCCGGTTGGAAGAAGCCGTTGAATGAGAACGAGCTGAAATCGTTTTGGGGGTAAATATTCCGTTGCTTAATTGTGAAAATGATGAAGGATTTCTGAATGAAAGGATGGGGGAATGAGACGAAACCTGAGACGATAAAAGAAGCAAGGTTTTTGGGTTTCGCTCTAAGCATCAAAACCATCTTCAACTGCGAGGTTCAACTACTTGGATTCACCATTAAAAGACCGGAGTGCTTCTATTTCATATAAAAGAGAAACCAAGAAATCAAATCGTATGCTCGACATTCATTTTAGAATAACTTTTATCTTTTTAATTTTTGAAAAAAAAAAATAATAGAAAAGTTTTTCTGAAAATGAATTTTTGTATAGAAGAAAATGATGGATTTAAAAAAGTCATAAAAAATACAAAACTGCAAGATTGATTTTTGTAGTATTCAAAAATTTTTGGTTGGAATCCAAAAACTTTTCAATTTTCATGGAAATATCCAAAATCAAAATTTTTCTTTGATTTTAGTCCAAAAAGATTTGAAAAGATAATTATACCCTTTTAATTTTTTTTCTTTTTTCTATAATTATTTTAATGTTATTTTTATTTAAAAAAAAAAACATAATATAATCCATCACCCACCCCCACCATAGTCTCTCTATCTCTCTCTCTCACACGTATACGCACACTTCATCTTCTTCCCTGTTGAAACACATTGAAGCTTAAACAAACACTTCACAAATACATATACCTACGAATAACCCACATGAATCCCACTAATTTGGTCCCAACCACCATCCCTCATCGTCTCCAATATTCATAATTCAAAACCACCATAGTTTTAGAGAAACCTGATTCGTCATCTCTCTCTCTCTCTCTCTCTCTCTCTCTCTCCACCTGTTTTAGAGAAAAAAAAGTTATGAATTTGATGCTCAGTTGATGTTTGAATCATCTCGCCCCCAAAACTCACAATGAAGAAGACGAAAGTTGATTATTACTATTTGTTTGATTCTAATCAGATTTGCTTTTCTCTTTTATTTCTCAAGTTCAATTCAGATTTTTGAGTTCATTGTTGGAGATGACGAGGGAAAATTTTCCATTGCCACACCATCAAACCGCATCAAAATTGTATAAAAACAGAGTCTAGATTCTGATTACCTCTATTGGCAATGGAGTCCCATCGACTGCAACCTCCCACCATTCGACCCCAACCACATGTAATCATTGCTCTGGATTTTTTCTCAGGTTGAAGAAGCCGATGAAGTGTATCACGATGAAGAATACTGAAGCAAAAAATTGTTCTTCTGCTTATAGTTGACCTAATTTGGTCCTAATTTTGACTAACCAATTTCTTTCCATGGGTCTAATCGAACTTCATCTCAATGAAGTTGACCTAGTTCGAGCTAACCAATTTAATGACTATCGAACTAATTTGGTAATTGATTGAATTTGAAAAGCTTCAGTTTTTCCGATCTGAAGATAGTGATAAGGAACTTCGTCAGAAAGTGTGCTTGGAAATGGTCTTGTTATTGTTGTCAAAAGCTTAATGAAGAAAGGGGAGAACAGAGTTGAAGAGGAAAAGGGGAGCCGACAGTCACAAAAAATGGGTTTTATTTGCAGTAGAAAGTTGTGAGAGAGAGAGGGGGGAGGGGGGGGGGGGAGGAGGAGGAGTGGAGTTATGGGGGTGGACATTTTTTTATTTATATCCACAAAATAGAAAATGAAAAAAAAAGTACAAAAAAGAAATTTAAAGGGCAAAACAGTCAATTCAAGTGCTCCATGGACCAAAACTAAAAAAAAAAAATTCGTAATTTTAGGGCCAAAACTAAAGGAAAACCTTGATTTTTAACTATCCATGCAAGTTGGAAACTTTTTGGACCCTATCCAAAGTTTTTTTGAATACCACAGAGGCTAATTTTGCAGTTTTGTCCATAAAAAACCTAACTTTTGTGACATGTAAAAGTTAGGGAAAATGACTTGTAAGGGTAACAAAGTATTAGACTTATACAAAAAATACCATTAAACTTTTTTTTGTACACATATCACCAATCAACTATAGCTTTTGTGCATATATGACCATTAAACTTCACCTTTATTCAAAAAATACCATTATGTTACCGGTAATAGTAGGTCACCAGCCACGTGGCATGTCATGTGGCTGCTGATATGGATTTTATTGTATATTATGTACACATTATACCATTAAACTATTTTTTGTACACACTATACCATTAAACTTTTTTTGTGTACATTTTACCATTAAACTTTTTGTACACATTTTACCATTAATCTTATATAATTTATTAAAAAAATATCATTTCAAAAAATACATATTTTTACATAAAATGGGTTTTCCATCATATATTGTGACTCCGTGATTTTGTAAGGTTTGGGGGAAAGGTTTGTTTTTTACAATGATACTAAGGACTTTCTTTTACAACTACATTGTGAATTTATGTTGGTCATACATCGATTGAAACCCACAAGGTTTGAACTTGAGACATCTATCTGGAGCAGCGAAGAAATACTCAATTGTTCATTATTTTAGCTAATGTCTAATAAACATATTGTTATAAGTCATTTTCTTAGGAAACTACGTTTGATGCACACTTATAAACTCATGAAACATTGTGTACATGTTACCTTATTAAAAACACCCCTCTTCTTGATTATGGTTGATAATTAAAAAAGTGCATTGAAATTATATCGTTGTTTACCGATAGGAAAATGACTTATAATGATAAGCTAACTAAAATTTAGAAAATCAGTAAAATCCACATCAGGTGATGGGAAACCTACTTTTATGTAATAATTTGTATTTTTTGAAATGATATTTTTTTTCAATAAATTATATAACATTAATGGTAAAATGTGTACAAAAAAAAAAGTTTAATGGTAAAATGTGTATAAAAAAAGTTTAATGGTATAATGTGTGAAAAAAATAGTTTAATGGTATAATATGTACATAATAAACAGTAAAATTCATGTCAGCAACTACATGGCATGCTACGTGGCTGATGACATATTATTATCAGTAAGATAATGATATTTTTTGAACAAATGTGAAGTTTAATGGTCATATATGTACAAAAGTTATAGTTGATTCGTGTTGTGTGTAAAAAAAATTCAATGGTATTTTTTGTACAAGTCTAATACTTTGTTACCCTTACAAGTCATTTTCCCTAAAAGTTACACTAAAAATCATTTTGCTAATCCAAACATATTTTAAATAGATCCTTTTACAAAAATTCATTCTACAAAAAAGACTTTTGATGTTCAAAAACAATTCCGAACACCCCCTCGTTTTCTTTATATGACCGTGCTTGGTCAAAATCTAGGTTCCCCAATCGAAGGTGTATGGGGCGAGGTCATCTATTGATTTGGATGTGTTTTTCAATTTATTTTTATATTTTGCAAGTTGCAACAAGTTGAAAAAAAAATGTGAATATTGAAAGCACAACAACAACTCAAATAAAGTCACATACTTAATACTTCATTTTAAGCAAATAGACATGAATTTTGGAAATTATGATTTACAAATAGACATGAATTTTGGAAATTATGATTTACAAATAAACAAGGTAAAAATTGATATTTTGATTTCACAAAAATGTCTTAAGTGCAAATAATTTAAAGGAACAACTTATGTTCACATTTTGCGACACAAAATAATGTGTGTTTCTTCAATACTTGGCCTTTAAACCATTACTTAAAGTTAAAACGACTTTTTATAAGTTAACACATCAAATATCACTCATATAATGTTAAAGTATTAATCGCAAAATTTATATGACTTTGACGCGTTTATAAATGGCTTAGAAAGAAAATAAAAGTATATTACATAAATAATCTATGTCGGTAGAAGAAGATTGTGGTTTCAATCCAAATTTTTTTTTTGTAATAATTTAGTCCTTGGGTTTTTGTCGTGGTTTTAGTCTATAGTCATGCTAAATTACAATCTTATCATTTGTAATTTCTTTTATTTTTCCTATATTGATTAAAATTTATACAAAAACATCTTTTTAAGTTGTTAATATAATGTTTTTGAGATGTCATAATATTATTGTTTTTAATATATAAATTATACCATAAATAACTATTTTTTAGCCAAAAATAGCTTCTTTTAGCCCCAAACAAAAAGGTTGCCCAAAATTAATTGGGAGCGGCGTAACAGGGGTGGGGGCGTGGACATAGGTGGGGCGTGAACATGGATGGGGAGGTTGGAGATTTATGGGTGAAGGTCGGGGGAATTTCAGGGGAGGGGCGGGGGATGCAACCCTCATCCTATTTGGTCTCGTTGACATCCCTACTTCTTCATTCACACACACATACATACACACTCTCTCTCTCCCTCCCTCCTTCTCTCTCTCTCTTATTTGGTTCTCTCTCTCCAAAACTCTTATTAGCTATCGGAGAATAACAATCCACCGCTACCGCCTTCTCCGCCTCCTCCTTTCACTAAGCCACCACCTTCCTCCTCCATTTTCTTATCCTACAAATACCATTTTGGGTGAGCCTATGACCAACATTAAAACCCTACCAATGCCGCCTCCACGTTTGCCACCAAGCTTATTTTCCACCCTTTCATCCGCCTCCCCCAAATGTCATGTTTGCTGTTTCAAACTTGTTTAAGGTTTGTTTCAGATTTTGGTAAGGCTTGTTTCAGAATGAACTATAAATGGAGGAATAAACGAGAGAATTAGAGATAAAGGTTTTTTGGGAGGGTGAACAAATTAGAGACTGGTTTTATTGTTGTTATAGGTTGTATAG